CACTTTTGCAAGCACAGCCGGCTTATTATTCATCTTTATTTTTCATCTGCTCTTACAAAACATTCATCGTAACACTGACTACTTACAATTAGTATAAAGGTGGGTCCACTGTACAAATCTTCTCCTAGCTTTAGCTACTGAGAGTTCTTTGTAACAGTTGAGATTGTGATCCTCTGACTGCCTTTGTCAATCCTCCTACTTACGGCGAATCACATAATTTGATTTCCAGTGTTTTGCCTACGAATTTAAAAAGGGTGAAAACATTACATCCGTTCTGTTTGTTTGAAAAGGTGATTTCCATTTTGATATTCTGCCTAATCTTCTTCTGCTTGAATCGGAAAATATAATAATAATAGTGATCGGAACTTGGTGTACGAGTTTACAAGCAGATTATAAAACATTTCTTATTTTTTCTCATATGTCAGTGCTCTTCACTCTTTCTCCTGATTATAGTTTTCTCATCGTCAAGAAATGTTGTTTGACTGTTTTTCGTAACGAAATTCTTTCCAGAAAATCATGCAAAGGGGTATTATCGCCATCTTGGGGCTTGTCATATTTGGCATGGCTGTGATAGGAACCATAACCTGTAAGTTGGAAGCATTTTTCGTCTTATAAGCAAATTATAAATCAGCATATTACAGCCAGCTTCGTAGAGATAGACAGTGATCCAGTTAGTGAAGTAAGCATTGACAAAGCACCAAGTGATTCTTTACGATTAATTGTTGTTGGAGACACTGGAGGTGAGAAAATCCAATTTTTTTGCTCCAACAACAAAGCTTAATGTTTGAGGATTACCGGTCTATCCATACTTCTCGTATGCGCAAAAGAGAGTTGCCAAAGCTATGGAGAAGGTAGCGGAGAGTAAAAAGGTCCAGTATGTGATCAATGTCGGTGATAACATCTACTTTACTGGAGTGGAGAACGAATATGATCCGCGTTTTCTTGTAAGTTTTGAACCAATAATTTGGAAACAATCTACCGTACTCGTCTTGTTCACCTGCCTTACGGTGAAGTAAGGAGGCAAGGGTGACCCGGAAAAGTGTGCGTCAAAACACGACACCCTATGCAATATATACATAATGGGTGGGACGGCTCCGCCTCTTGCAGAAAACGCCGCCCACTTCACAA